TTTTTTTGCAACTGGCTTTGGGGCTTTAGCGGGTAGGAGGCTTAAAGGCAATCGGCGCGTTCTACGCGCGGTCCTCGTTCGCGCGCGACGGGCCATGAATTTTCTTCGGAAAAGCGTGGTAAGGTGGCCGAGCGGTCAAAGGCGCCAGTTTTAAGCACTGGCCCCGAAAGGGTTCGTGGGTTCGAACCCCACCCTTACCAATTTTTTTATTTTGCTTGACAAAACCGCTCTATTTTTTTTATTTAGCGGATGCGTGGCAGCGGACGCAGCGTGTGGAACAGACGCAGGGCGGCGGCCAGCAGCAGCACGGAATTTGCCTGGTGGGCGGACGCGTTGGCGATGGGCACGCCGTTGACCAGGGTGGACACGCCCAGGCCGACTTGCAGGGCGGCCAGCGCGTACATGGCGTGCAGGGCGCGGCGCGCGGGGCCGGGCAGCGGCAGGCGGCGGCCCTGCCACCACAGCGCCGACAGCACAAAGAACGTGGACATTGCCAGCACGCGGTGCTCGAGCTGCACCAGCGCCGGGTTCTCGGTGAGGTTGCGCCACATGGCATCGGCGTTGCCGCGCGCATAGTACTCGTGCCACAGCTCGCGCCACGGCGGCAGCACGCGGTCGCCGCCCATCAGCGGGAACTCGTTGTACAGCAGGCCGGCGTCCAGGCCGGCCACCATTGCGCCCGACAGACACGTGCCGGCCACCAGCAGCGCGGCCGCGGCAATGCGCCAGCGGAACGCAGCCACCTGCGGCAGCTCCAGCTGGGCGCGCAGGGCGGCGGCAGGCGCGCTGCGCGCCAGACGGTTGGCGCGCAGCACGCCCCAGCCGTGCAGCGAGAGCCCGGCGTACAGCATGTAGGCCAGCGCCAGGTGCGCGGCCAGCCGGTACTGGCTGACGCGCGGCACGGCGTCGGCGCGCTCGGCCAGCGCATGGTCCAGGCCCGACGTCACCATGTACCAGCCCATCGCGCCCTGCGCCAGCAGCAGACCGCCCATGCCGGCGAGCTTCGCCCTGCCTGCCCGCGTCACCCGCCCACTGGCCACAAACCACACGGCGGGCACCAAATACACGACGCCAAACAGCCGGCCGATATTGCGGTGGAACCACTCCATAAAGTAGATGCGCTTAAAGTCGTCCAGCGAAATGCCAATGTGCACCTTGTGGTACTCGGGAAACTGCTTGTACTTTGCAAACTCGTCGTCCCACTCGCGGTCGCTCGTCGGCAGCCGCGCGCCCGTGATGGGCTTCCACTCGACGATCGAAAGCCCCGACTCGGTCAGCCGCGTGAGCCCGCCCCACACGACGATTCCAAACACCATCGAGGCGCAGAACAGCGACCAGTACCCGACGATTGGCGCGTCCACCGGGGCCGGCGCGGGCGCTGCCTGCGTGGCCAGCGCGCGCAGCCGCAGGAGCCCGGGGGCGGCGCTGGGCCGGGAATGGCGGAAGTGCGCGCGGCTGTGGCGCCAGCTGAGCCCACGCGCGGCCAGCAGAAAGTTGGCGCGGCCAACAAGCGCCGGCAGCCGGGCACAAGCTCGCAAGCCTAGCATAGTTCGATCCAAGGGGAGGTATAGGAAAAGATTGCGATAAGCAGAAAAAGCGTAAAGAAAACAAAGACGAATCAAGTCCGATCTGGGACCAGAGCGTGATCAGGCGATGTCGACCAGCTCGACGGCAAAGCGCAGCGTGGCATTGGGCGGGATGCCGGCCTGCGGGAGCCCGCGCTGGCCGTAGGCCCACTCGGGGCGGATGCACAGGTCGGCCTTTTCGCCGCGGACCATGGTCAGCACGGCCTCGTCCCAGCCGCGGATCACGCGGCC